CCTCAATCCTCCTCCTCCTAGTCCTCCTACTCCTCCTCCTCCTCCTCCTCCTACTCCTCCTAGCTCCTCCTCCTCCTCCTCCTCCTCCTCCTCCTCCTCCTCCTCCGTCCTCCTCCCCGTCCCCGCCTCCTCGATCCTACTCGTCTTCGATGCTCCCTCCCATCCGTCTCCGTTCTACCCCACTCCTACTCCTCCTCCCCCTCCTCCTCCTTCCTCCTCCTCCTCCCTCCTCCTCCTCCTCCTCCTCCTCCTCCTCCTCCTCCTCCTCCTTCCTGATGTTGTGATCCCATCCAGTGTCCGTTTTGGGGCGTCGGAGTGCTGGTCGCCCTGCCTCGTCCTCGACCCTCATCCCCCTCGTCGATCATCCCCGTACCTCTCGATCCTCCCCCCCCCGCCATCGATCTTCGATCCCTCCCCTAGCCTGGCAGGCAGCAGGACCCTCGCTGCCCCATGAGCCCCGGCCGTGGCGCCGGCGCGCGGCGCGTGGCGCGCCGACGCGCGTGGAGGCTCGCTCTGCCGGCTCGTCGTCGTCGGCGTTGGCGTCGGCTTGGGCTCTGCCGCCGCCGTCGTCACCGTGGTCGTCGTCTTGGTCGTCGCTGTCTTCGTCGTCGTCGTCGTCGTCGTCGTCGCCGTCGCCGCCGCCTCCGTCATCGTCATTGTCGTCGTCGTCGGCGGCGGCGGCGGCGGTGGCGGCGGCGTCGTTGCATGGGAGAACAGCGTGGTAATAGAATTAGAAACGCATGGGTGTGAGACGATAAGGGATGCTCTGCTCACTTGGCGCAAGTTACGTACCAAGTTGGAACTCTGGCGCCCAATGAAAGTTGCCGCTGCCTCGGCTCAAGCCATTCAGGGCATAGGTGGTTTAGGGCGTTTCCTCTTCAAACCCAAGTGTTCCCCTTTGGGAAGGGAGTATCACTGTCCCATATCGGTATACACCCCCCTCCCCCACGCGACCAGGGACGAACCCGGAACAATAACACCCCCCACCACCATCCCTGCCAAGAACAGTACACAATGTACGTTGCGGCAAAACCTGGATCCCGCGCGGGCACCATTCAACCACGTTGCACTGCTGTTGACAGGAGTCAGGAGGCTGCCAGCATATTGCCTGCTGCGCGCAGGCCCATCATCCCCGTCGGAATAACCATTCTACATACACCTCTTCCGGTAATGATCATGCGCAGGCGCCCCCCCGGCCACTTCGCATTGCTGATTGATCGGAATGACGGAGGTACCCTGGCACGCGCGGCGCACCTCGCGGGTGTCGAGCGCCTGACAGGCGCCTGCATTGGTTCGCAATGACGGTCGATGGCGGCCCCTGCCCATGCCGTGGCGGGGGCGCCGGGGGGAGTGAGCGGGGGCGCCAGGGCACCCTGGGCCTCGAAGAGGCCCCTGAGAAGCCCCGGGAGATCCCAAGGGACACAAGGAGGCATCCACGGGGCCCCTTAGCCCGCACGGGCCCCCCGAGGTCTCCCAAAAAGAACGCCACGCTCGCCCCGTTCGGGGCAGCTCCGCTGGGCCTCACGTCTGGAGGGGACGGTGGAGACACGCGCTCCGACGCTGCGCGCGTGCCACCCTTCGGCGCCCTGCTGCCCCCACTGGCGTGCCAGCCGAAACAAGCGTTCACGACACAGCCAATCGGGTGAGTACTTGCTCATGCTGCAGAGGCACGCAACGCATTCGCATGCTCTGCATGCTTTGATTCTGCGCCTCGCGCTGAGAAGCCGGCAAAACTTCCATCACGCGTAGGACTGCAGTTGCCAGCTACTAATCGACAGCCACGAACCATCTCAGCAACATTCCCAAGCTGTTCGTCGCCCCCCCGGATCTGAGGGCGTCCATCGGCCCAGCTGCCTCGCAACTGGTGCCGCTGCCGCGCCTGCATGTCGCTCGCTTCTCTGTGGAGAGCGAGTATCTACTACGGATAATAATAATCATCATAATAATGAAAATAATACGACTAATAATAAGAGTAACATACTAATGATCGCAACTCGTACTACGAATGATAATACTAAGAAAACGAATGAGACTACTAGTACTACGACAAGTAACAAGAAGAAGCGGGGGCGCCCTGTTTACTGATATTATTACTACTCATAGTATTGAGTATTGTTATTACTATTGTTTTTTATTATTCTCGCCGCTGCACCTCGCCGCGCCGCGGCCGTCGGCAAGCTGGCCTGCCATCGCATCGAGGACGGGCCCGTGGAGATGCTGCCCGTCGTCGCCGGGTCAGCTCGCACGCGCCGCGCCCCGCGCCGAAGCACGTCCTCGATCCACCAAGGGGGCCCTGGGACACACAACTTAACAGACACACACCTTAACAGACACAAGCGTGGCCGGGCCCGCGGGCGGCGTGGAGAACGCGGACACGCGGTCGATCATCACCTCAAATGAGCAGTGCACTGCCCCCCCGTCCTCTCGACGCCTCCGCGCCTCGCTGGCGGAGGCTGGGCAGCGCTTGATCTCGCGCGACGTCGGCAAGATGGCGTCGATCTTGGTTCCCGATGGTTCTCCATCCGATGGCGACCTCTGCCCATGCTGGATATCGGGTGCTGCTCAATTGAGGGAGGGGGGCGGGATTGAGCGAGACTGTTCGTGGCGTTCCCGCTGGAAGCATGACGCCTCCCCCTGCCCCCTACCTCGGGTCTGGGGGGGCTGGGCGAGGTGTCAGAGGGTCCGATTTGGCCCACGATGGCCCAGGACGAGTCAAGATGTCGTCGAGTATGCCTCCAGGGCGCCCCAAGACCACCGCTCCACATGGCCTCGGAGCTTCCCAAGATCGCCCCCGGGAGGCCAAACGTCTGTCAGTCAAAACCTGAACACGTTCGACTGTGGTGTGTACTACCCTCTCGTCTTGTCGCCTCCGACCAATCCGCCGACCCTGTCGGCGTGTGTGAGGGGCTTGTATGGTCGAGTCGTCGTCTCCGTCAGTCGTCGTCTCCGTCGTCCCTTTTCCCTGCACCCTCCTCCTCAAGCCTGTCAGCGAGAGAAAAAAATCCAGCAATGTCGCCATCGAGACCAAGGGAAGCCCCTTCCATTTGAGTCCTCCCCCGTCGGGGGGAGGTCCTAGGGGGGGTAGGGGGGGGGTCTGGGAGGGGTCATGGGGGGGGGTCAGACACGCATCCCCCCCTCGGGGTCACGGGGCCTCCGAAAATACCAAGACAGGCCAAGAATCCCCCAGGAGGGCCACAAGACGGTCCAAGAGGGCCCCAAATCGCCAAACTATCGGTTCAAAACGCCTTCACGGCCTCCAGGCTGCCCAGGAGGCCGCCAAGACGTCCCAAGAAGCCTCCAAGAGCACTTCCGAGAAGGGCCCTACAAGTTGACATTCATCGATTCCCTTTGGTTTTTGTTGACGGATTTGGGCGTTCTCGCCGTTTCCGCTCCCCGCCGATCCAAGACGGCCCAAGAGGCCCCCAAGATCCCCTCAAGACGGTCCCAAACAGCCCAAGAGCACCCCAAGACACCCCAGAACGCCTCCAAGACGGCCCAAGAGGCCCCCAAGTCGGCTCCAAGAGAGTGCCCAGACGGGGGTCCCGAACGGACATTTCGAGCACTCGGCCCCGAGAGGCTCCCAGGAGGCCCCAAGAAAGAGGTTCCTGAGAGGCCCCAAGAGGCTCACAAGAGGTCCCCAGGAAGCCCGAAGAGGCCCCAAGAGGCTCCCAAGAGGTTCCCAAGAGGCTCCCAAGAGGCTCCCGAGAGACTCCCAAGAGGCTCCCGAGAGGCCCCAGAACTCCTCCAAAGCAGCACCAGAGAGCCGTTCGAAGAGACTCCAAGAAGCATCCCTCTGGTCCACGTCAGCGTCGTCGTCGTCGCCGCCGCCGCCGCCGCTGTCGGCGTCGCCCTTCAGGGTCGGCGGCAGCGGCCGTAAGGATTTCGCAATACGTTAGGCCTCAAGATTGCCCTAACATCGCCCAGCCCAGAAGAGCACCAAGACGGCCCCAAGAGCGCCCAAGGGCGCCCCAAGAGTGTTTAAAGATGTGTTTTTGTTCGGACTCCGACGGAGGAAAGATAATTGAGAACCCCTCCAAAAAGATCATCGAAGATGGCCCCAGGAGGACCCGCAAGGGCGCCACGAGGGCCCAAAGACAATTCCGGATGCCTTCCCAAAGGCCCCGACAGGGCCCCAAGATGGCCCAAATAAGCTTCAGAGAAGCTCTCATATCTAAAGATCCGTGAAGGCACTTATGGTTTCCTCCTTGGTTTACTCAGACTGAACAGGAACTTGGGTTTGACGGCTCCCCCTCTCTTTGTTCCACTGCTTGCTCCTACACTTCCCTGATCAAGACAGTTCGCCTGGACATCGCCCCTAGATGGGCTGATGGGGATACGCGAAGCGTCAAGAATCCCATCCTCTCTTCTCCCACTCCGACCCCCCCCCTTGATTCATCTCCAAGTATCCCGCAGGAGTTACTCGCGAGCATTGGCCCGCTAGGTGTCCAGGAGTCCTTCCCGTTCTATCATGGTCACGATCGGGATCCGAGATTTCAGCAGGTGAGCTTTTCGTGCCGGACACTGTCGTCGTTGGTGAAATGTGGGCCAAACACGCGCTCCCTCGGCCAACTCACGGATTGCGACCTCCCGAAGACTCCAACAGGCTTGGCACCCGGCCTAGTGCAAAACTCGCAGAACCATTTGTTTGCCTCAGACGAGCACGTCTTACAAAATGTCACGGACACCACTAATGATCGCGAGCCGCACAGACGTTGTGCCAGCCAGAACAAGTGCCACGGTCGACTCTTGGCTTGCAGAGGCACGAAGAGGTTGCGAGGCGAACTGATGAACGCCAAGGAAAAGGGAATGAAGAGCGATTGCAAGCACTGCGCATGCCACGGAAGTGAGGCACGAGACGGCGAACCGCTAGAGGGAGACAGCATGAAAGCTGTGGCAACGCGCGCGCACCCGTGACGGGTGTCAAGCATGCGAGCGCTGCGATCAATCACGGCGCCGCCGACGGCGCGCAGTGATGCTGGCCTGCGCCCCGCTGCGACCCCTCAGATGCCGCAGCAGGGCCCGCGGCCGAAGAGGTGCACCGGCGTGTGGTGCACGAAGTGCCAGATGAGGATGCCGACCCAGCGGTCGCGGCACTCGTCGATCTTGGTGGTCTCGATGATCTCCTTCTGCAGCGCGGCGGGGATCCACCAGTTCACCATGTAGCCCGACTTCGGCTTCTCGTTGGCGGCCACCACGAAGGCGGCGTCGTGGGGGCCCAGGCTGGTGGCGAACATGCCAGCGCCCCACGGCCACCAAGACTTGATCAGCCCCGTCACCTCGCTGGTCTTCTTGCCACTCTTGACTGCCTTGTCGAGCTTCTGCACGTTCCGCACCGCGTGCAGTGCCTGCTCCTCGCCCGGGTAGGAGATCTTCGGGATGATGGGGAAGTCGCCCACGAAGTGCATGCCCGTGCCCTCGCCCTTCTTGTACTTCCTGTACCTGCCGACGCACCCAAAGTTGCAATCTCCCACGGCGAAGATGCGGCCGTCCGCCCACGTCTTGCCGGGCTTGAACTCCCACTTGCCCCCTGGCTTGGAGCCCTCCTTCAGCGCCTCAAGGCTCTCCGCAATCTCCTCTTTGGCCGCGTCTTCCGCCGGCGCTTCGCACACCTGCAAGTTGTTATTGATGTGGATCCAGCCGCCACCACCGGGGACCAGGCCAGGCCTGGCGAGGGTCTCTTGGGGCATGAAGTAGTTGGAAGCTTTGAAGCCCATGCACAGGTATGTAAGATCAGACTTGTCGGGCATGTCGATCTTGTTCCAGAACTCCGAGTTGCCGGGATCGTACTTCGTGCTGACGTACTCCTTAATGCCTGCGGCGGCCATGTACTCGGAGCAGTAGCCCGCAGCGCTGTCCGGCAGGGAGCCCAGAATGCGGGGCAGAAAATCGATGATGGCCAGCTTGAGCTTTGGGAAGAAGTACTCCAGCTCGGTGACCCACTCCACACCAATGAAGCCCGCTCCAGCAACCAGCACCTTGGCCTCCTTTTTCTCCAGCTCGATGAGCTTGTGGTACTCCTCCAAGATGTGGCGGCGGCGCCCTTCGATGAAGCGCTCGTCGATGTGTGCCCACTCGCTGCCAGCGCGCCCGAATTCGTGAACGGTGGGGAACCACAGCGACTCTCCCGTCGTCGACGGCTTCATGTCCACATTGAAGGGGCCGAAGTTGCAGCCCGAACAGATGATGCAGAAGTCGAAGCCGACCTCGTCCTCCTCGGAGGAGAACATGGTCTTGATGCTGGCGGTTCTCTCCTTGAGCGTCTTGACCTCGCCCCAGATGAACTTCACGCCGATGCGGCGCTCGTACACGGGCTGCAGGGTGAAGGTGAGGGCGTCCAGGTGGCAAGGCTTCACATAGGCGCGCAGCACGCCCGGGGTGTACTCGAAGTATTCCTTGGCATCGACCACCGTGACGTGGAATTGCTTCTTCAAGTCGCGCGCGCAGAAATTTCCAGTGAATTGGCCCCCGATGATCAGGCACTTGGACTTGCTTCCAGGCATGGTTCTGGCGCACGGTCGGCCACGGGATGCCGGGGGGGATGCACTTCTCAAGACCTCCTGCGCCTTAAGCCAAAATGACTTCGGCGGCGAGAGAGGAGCTGGGAGGAGGATGAGGAGGATGATGAGGAAGCAGGCAATCAGGCGGAAGAGGGGATGATGAGGCTGACAAGCATGGGGCTGGGCGGGATCATTGCGCTCAAGACGGCCCCGAGACCCCCGACGGGCACCCGAGAGGCCCTCGAGAGAGCCCAAGAGGCCCTCAAGCGGCCAAGGGAGCCCTCACGAAGCTTCCAAGACGCGTTCCAGAAGGAAAGCGAAGACGAAGGAGGAAAGAAGAGGAAGAACTGCGGACCAAGAGGGGGCGTCCCGGACCCGCGTCAGCTCACGCAAGGCACTGGACTGGAGTGGGTCTTAAACTCGACCACCCTCCAGCTGCGCTGCTGCGCTGTGCCCGCGCACACATGCACTGACCAACGGCCTCACAAACATGCACACGAAGGCACTTGTGCATTCGAAAGCGCGGCCCAACAGCGACCACCTTCGATCCGAATGGCAGCCGAAACCGCTCCCAGGCGTCCCAAGCGTCCCGCTGCGGGCCTCAAAGGCGTTGGTGAGGGTGGCAGTCTGGCGCGGCGCCCGCTTCCAGCCAGCAGCGCCTGGCCATGCCTCCCGGGAGCCTGTCGGGGGTCTGTTGAAGGTCTCTTCGGGGCCCATCTGGGACCTCTGGGAGGAGGAGGCGGAGGAAGAGGAGAAGGAGGATGAGACAGAGGAGGAGGAGGAGGAGGAGGAGGAGGAGGAGTAGGAGGAGGAGGAGGGCCTCGGGAAGAGGAGGGAGAGGAGGAGGAGGAGGAGGAGGAGGAGGAGGAGCAGGAGCAGGAGCAGGAGCAGGAGCAGGAGGAGGGCCACTTGAAGGCCCTTCGGGCGCTTCTGGGGTCACGTTGCGGGACGTCCTTCGGGCTCCTGGAAAGGCTCCTGCGGCCAAGCTGCGGCTGCCGCCGTCGACCTCCGCGCGACAAGGGGGCTCCGGGAGCCAGCCTGCGGGCCCGGGGCGCTCGGGGCCCCTCTTCTGAAGGGGCCCCCAGGACACACAAATAGATACACACGAATCAAAAGATTCCCCATATTGTCCTGTATCTTCTGGGTTTCTGTCTTCCCCCCCACTTCCCATAGTTCCCCACATTTTCTGGGGAATCGAGGATTCATTGAGTCTGTGTGTTTTTTCCTCTCCTGATCTTCTGCCGTCTTGGAGTCGCCTTGGGGCCCTCCTCTTTGGGGATCCATCGGTCTTGTGGCTTTGCGGGCTGTCCAGTGGGCTAGCTCGGGGGCTGTGACGCGTGAGGAGGCGAGGATGTGAACATAGCACAGTCAGCATCAGACGACCAGTGCGTCTCGCCTCTTTGGGGCCTCTTGGGGGTCATCTTGCTTAGGCCTCCAGGATGCGATTGCTCGGGCTCGTGCTCACAAGTGAGGGCTGAAATGAGCATCCCCTCATTCTGTTGCACGACTGTTCCCAGGATCTCTCCAAAATGGCCCGAGAGGCTCCCAATACGGCCCCAAGGGACCGATCCCAACTTTGGACTGGTGCTCACTAATGCTCCCCAAGGGCCTTTCTCACGACGACTCGCCCGGGAATCGCGTCTGGAATGGCCGGCGGGGATGCGCGAAGCATCAATCCGCTGGCACCCCCCGTGGGGGCCACCGGGAGGCGTGGACGAAGTTTCTGTTCCTTGCAACCAGTCCTCAGCTCTATGGCTCCAATGCAGTTCCTCTACTCCAAGGTGTCAGATGTTGTAGCTCGTTGTTCCCCGTTCCAAAATTGGAAGGTGGCAGAGCGCCCGATCCCCCCGGCCGGAAAACATGCGCTACCCTGTCAAAAACACGTCCTCGGAATCCCTAGGTGCCCTCGGACACGTTGCACGGGTACGCGCTCCCGGTGCCACAGTCCATTAAAAATGACGAGAGAGGCACGCTCCTAGGGCCACAACCACCCATGAATACACACGCTTGCTCCGAGCCCCCCCCGAATTACAACGCATTCGCGCACCCGAGGCGCAATTCCCTCGCACCTTACAACGATGTCGCGCTTCCAGTGCCACAGCCCCTTACAAGTTTTACCAACACATAATTCATTACGAGACTGTCCCACCCTCGATGCCAACACATTACACAGTCGGACCTGGGCCAGAAGAACACCCTTCAAGAACATGAGACCCTCCGTCGGCCAGAACACACAGAACATCCAAAGGTACCCTCCCCAGGATGCACAAGAACATCCCAACGAACACGAAGAACGCTAGGGTACCCTCCCCGAGCCGACCTTGAGCTTACACCTCGGCCCGACTATAAGTTACCTCCTGCAGGGCCTCCAGGAATTCCCGAAGAGGCTAAAGTCATAGATTTCCCTTACGTTTTGAAACAATTTGGCATTTGCTTCTTTTCGGACTCCCGACGGCCCGAGACGACCCAAGAGCCCCCAAAGATCGCCCCAAGATCGCCCAAGAGGCCTCCAAGATGGCCCCAGAACGGCCAAGAGGCCCCCAAGACGACCCCAAGATGGCCCCAAGACGGCCCAAGAGGTCTCCAAGACGCCCAAGGTGGCCTCCAAGACGGCCCTGGAGCACCCCAAGAGGGCCCCAAGTCGGCCCAAAGAGGCCCCCAGTGCGGCTTCCGACGGCGCCAGACGGGCCAGTAGCCCACCATCACAGTCCAAGATGGCTCCAAGATGGCCCAATACGGCCCAAGATGGCGCCAAGACGGCCCAAGACGGCCCAAGACGGCCCCCAAGAGGTCTCCAAGACGGCCCAAGAGGCCTCCAAGAGAGCCTCCAGGAAGGCCCGAAGAGGCCAAAATCACTGATGGTCCTTAAGTGTTGACGGATGTGGGCATTTGCTTCGATTCGGCCTACCGACGGCCCGAGACGGCCCAAGAGCGCCCAAAGATCACCCCATGATCGCCCAAGAGGCTTCCAAGATGGCCCCAGAACGGCCCAACAGGCTCCCAAGACGGCCCCAAGAGGGCCCCAAGACGGCCCAAGAGGCCTCCAAGACGCCCAAGATGGCCTCCACTACGAACCCTGGAGCACCCAAAGAGGGTCCCAAGTCGGCCCAAGGAGGTCCCCAGCACGGCTTCCGACGGCGTCGGACGGGGCAGGGATGCCCACAGAAGCCCCCGAGAAGCCCCGAAAGGACCCAAGACCCCAAGAGGCCCAAGGAGGCCCCCAAGATACCTCCAAGAGGCTCCCAGGAAGCCCCCAGAGGCTCCCAAGAGTGCCCCCAGAGGCTCCCAAGATGCCCCCTCCTCCTCCTCCTCCTCCTCCTCCTCCTTCCTCCTCCTCCTCCTCCTCCTCCTCCTCCATCTCCTCCTCCTCCTCCTCCTCCTCCTCCTCCTCCTCCTCCTCCTCCTCCTCCTCCTCCTCCTCCTCCGGATCCTCCGCCTCCTCCTCCTCCTCCGGATCCTCCCCGCCATCCTCCCCCAAGTGCTCCCCCAAGGGTTTCCACAACGGCTGGGGAGCACATGGTCCGATAGCTTGGCAGAGCTCTTGCCACAACGCTCGTCCACATGGGCGATTCCAAAAGGCAGGGGTCGGCGGTGATTCGCCGAGGCGTCTTCGATAAATTGTTGACGCAGATGGACTCCCGAGGCCACAATCCCGAGTAACTTACAATAAAAATCGCGCACTCGAGGCCACAACCAATGGTGAAGTACGACGCGTTCGCGCCCCGAGGCCACAATCTTCAATACATTACTGCACATTCGCGACGCACTTGCGCCACCGAGGCAACAAAACCGTGTACGTTACGACACGCTCGCTTCCGAGGCCGGTATGCCCCATAATCTACAAAACGCGCGCACTCCCAAGCAACCATTCCTCATCAATTACTGCACAAATGCGCGCAGCGCAACCAGTCAGCCAGCAAACGGATCAGACCAACTGTCAACAATATACTCCGGCAACCAAACGACCAACATATTTGCTGGCAAGACAGCCAAACATGAACACTAACTATTCAACCGATCAAGTGTCACCATGCAGTGCAAGCAGTCTGGGCGCTGGCGGCAGAGGGCGAAGCCCTTCATAATTCTACATGCTTGAAGAACTCCAAATTCGGATTAATCCGCCACCGTTCGGCGGCGAGAGAGGAGGGAAGTGAGAAGAAGAAAGCCTTCTCAGAAGGCAGCGAGGCTTCTCAGAAGGCCTCCGAAGCCGTGCCCCGTGGCACGCGAATGCGTGGCACAGTCGGACTTGACTGGACAGCACACGCGAGAGGACACAAGACCCTTCCGAGGGCCGCATTGCCACAGGAATGTAGAAGACATTGGGTCGCGAGGCACAGGACACGAGGGCATCCTTGATTTGGCAGGGTCGACCCACTGATCGAGGCCGACGGCAGAGTGCCGAGTGCTGTCCGGCAGGGCCCATGTGCAAATCTCCTGAGAGACCCCCGACCCGGCCCTCTCGCCTCGCCCCCTCGCGTGCCCCGCCCCTTCCCACCCCCCCACCCCCTCCTGGGCCTCGCCCATTGGGTCACTCTCCTTGCTCGTCCATCTTCGCCGTCCGCCAGACATTCCTCCTCTTTGTCTCCCTCCTCCTCCTCCTCCTCCTTCTCCTCCTCCTCCTCCTCCTCCTCCTCCTCCTCCTCCTCCCCCTCCTCCTCCTCCTCCTCCGCCTCCTCCTCCTCCTCCTCCTCCACTCCTACTCATCCTCCCCCTCATCTTTCTCCTCCTCCTCCTCCTCCTCCTTCTCCGTCTCCTCCACCCTCCTCCTTCTCCTCTTCCTCCTCCTCCTCCTCCTCCTCCTCCTCCTCCTCCTCCTCCTCCTCCTCCTCCTCCCTCCTCCCTCCTCCTCCTCCCTCCTCCCTCCTCCTCCTCCTCTCCTCCCCTCCCTACCTCCCTCCCTCCTCCCTCCCTCCCTCCCTCCCTCCCCCCTCCCTCCCTCCCTCCCTCCTCCCTCCTCCCCTCCTCCTCCCCCCTCCCCCTCCCTCCCTCCCCTCCCTCCTCCCTCCCCCCTCCTCCCCCCCTCCCGAGGCGCTCACTGGGCGGCCCGGCGCCTCAACGGGGATCTCCCAAGCTCCCCAGGGCTTCCAAGACGGCCCCAGAAGACCGCCAATGAAGGGGCCCCGGGACACATAAATAAATAGACGCCAATCCCAGGATCACCCATAGATTCTCTTTCTGGATTCTCGCCTTCCGCCCCACTTCCCATATTGTCCCACATTTTCCCGGGGATCGACGATGAATTGTGTCTGTGTGTTGTATCCCCTCGTGAAATGTGGCCTGACATTGCCTCAAGTCACGCAGCAGCCCCCAGAAAGATTTTAATAGTGAGGCCCTCATTTGGTTGTTGTGCATCGTTTTGTTTTCTCGAAGGCCATAGTGCATAGTGCAGCCATCTTGAGCCGAGAGGACAGTGAGACGCAAAGTATTCAAACACGTTAGGAACGTGTCCGAACGATTTTGGCACTCGTGAAGCTCACTGGGTCCGTGTACGCCTCTTGGCCAAGAAACGCCCAGGGCAGCCTAAGAGAGCCCCCACTAAGAAGTCCTGGCCCCAAGAGGTTTCAAATACGGCCCTAAATGAGGACCAAGAGGGGCCCAAAACAACACCGCGCAGGCCAAAGAGGGCCCCAACACGGCCCAACAGTGTCCCAAGATGGCCCCAAGACGGCCCCACAGGAACCAAAGTCCGCCTCAGGACGGCCCAGGTAGACCGGCCCAGGACGCCCCAGGACGGCCCAGGAGTAGGTACGAGAGGTGTCACATGTCACAGCCGTCTGGGCGTCGCCAAAGGGTGCTGCGCTGGCACGGTGGCAGAACTTGCCGCGGGGAAGTGCATAGCCATTACATCTCAACAGCATTGTTCACAGAACTGTAATGCTTGGTTTCGCCAACGGACTACACTGGCGAGACGACGTCACACGCCGGACAAGGGCCACTCCACAGATATTAACGCGCGCCACAAGCAACCACAACCAGCACGATAAACATGCGGTGACCAGTCGGCCTCACCTTACACCAGTGCCGCAAGGTCACTTCATGCCATGCCATTCGTGTTGAGTAGGGCTGGGGGTCAGGTCTGCAAAACAACCCAAACGGACGTCGAGTGCCGCAACCAACCTGTTCGGTCAAGCTGAACTACTGCACCACGCCCAGCGTCAAGCCAAAACTTTGGACAGGGGCGAACGGTTCGGCTTTGCACATCTTCGCCGGCTAAACCAGCGAGGCTGGTTGACCACTTTGACGTCCGTTTCTTAGTGGTCCTGCAAAGGCAGGCGCTCTCTGACCCACGGCCCTACTCTACCTCGTGCCCGCCTACCCAAGGCCATGGCTTTCTGAAATATGGTGAGATCGAAGCGAGGTGACGCAGACTTGCCAAGTTTCAAACATATCGGCGAACAACTGATACAGCGGGAGTGAAATCACAGAGTCGTACTCAACGCATGCGATGGAGGGGCTATCATTGAAGCGTGTGGCGTAGCGAACGAGAACAGGTGCCCAACTGTTTGCCTCCAACGAGCCCGTCTCACAAGATGCCAGGACATCACTACTGACCGCGACTCGCACAGACGCTGTGCCAGCCAGGGAGTGTGCCGCAAGCGACTCTGGACCTGCTGGGGGGCGCAAAAAAGTTCGAGGCGAACTAGAGGACACCGAGGAGCAGGGATCTCTACCCCGTCGGCGCCCGACGGGCCCGCGCCCCGCTGCGAGGCACCCCCTCAGATGCCGCAGCAGGGCCCGCGGCCGAAGAGGTGCACCGGCGTGTGGTGCACGAAGTGCCAGATGAGGATGCCGACCCAGCGGTCGCGGCACTCGTCGATCTTGGTGGTCTCGATGATCTCCTTCTGCAGCGCGGCGGGGATCCACCAGTTCACCATGTAGCCCGACTTCGGCTTCTCGTTGGCGGCCACCACGAAGGCGGCGTCGTGGGGGCCCAGGCTGGTGGCGAACATGCCAGCGCCCCACGGCCACCAGGACTTGATCAGCCCCGTCACCTCGCTGGTCTTCTTGCCACTCTTGACTGCCTTGTCGAGCTTCTGCACGTTCCGCACCGCGTGCAGCGCCTGCTCCTCGCCCGGGTAGGAGATCTTCGGGATGATGGGGAAGTCGCCCACGAAGTGCATGCCCGTGCCCTCGCCCTTCTTGTACTTCCTGTACCTGCCGACGCACCCAAAGTTGCAGTCTCCCACGGCGAAGATGCGGCCGTCCGCCCACGTCTTGCCGGGCTTGAACTCCCACTTGCCCCCTGGCTTGGAGCCCTCCTTCAGCGCCTCAAGGCTCTCCGCAATCTCCTCTTTGGCCGCGTCTTCCGCCGGCGCTTCGCACACCTGCAAGTTGTTATTGATGTGGATCCAGCCGCCACCACCGGGGACCAGGCCAGGCCTGGCGAGGGTCTCTTGGGGCATGAAGTAGTTGGAAGCTTTGAAACCCATGCACAGGTATGTAAGATCAGACTTGTCGGGCATGTCGATCTTGTTCCAGAACTCAGAGTTGCCGGGATCGTACTTCGTGCTGACGTACTCCTCGGGGCACAGCATCGTTGTCATCCTCCTCCTCATCATCATCCTCCCCATGCCCATCCGTCCCTTAATATTACCACTCTTGCTGTAATGTCTCCTTCCCCTCCTGAAGGAACAAGAGCTACCAGTACCGCCACTCCCTGGACCTCTCCCAGGGTGAGTTCTGACCAGGACTCCAAAGCGGATCCACCCATGGCGACTAGGCCCACCAGGAGGCCCAAGCAGGCGAACATCATAGAATAGGCATCGACATCATCATGCATTTCTCCTCTGGGCAGTGTCCCCATCCCTGCCCTCTCCCTCTTCCCTCCCTCTTTCTCTTACTCTTCCTCCCCCTCTCAATATTCCTCCCATCCCTCTTCCTTTTCCTTCCCTCCCTCCCTCCCCTTGTCCTACCTCCCCCGCCTCTCCTCCCACTTCCTCCGTTTTCCTCCTCCTCCAGCACCCAGCCTACCCGTTCGAGCCCGCTGTGGCGGTGGCGAGGTGCACCAGCCGGACTGCAGGGGAGGATGAGGCACAGAAGAAATAGGCAATGTGGTATACCGAATGTTCTCAACAGCCCATAGTCCCTCCTCCCATCCCCTCTTCCCTCGTCCCCTCCTCGTCCTCCCACTCCCCCTCCTATTCCCCTTTTCTCCCACTCTCCTCCCCTCCACTTCCTCCTCCCTCTCCCATCCTCTCCTCCCCTCCCCCAGAGTCTCCTTCCACCTCCTCCGCCACCTCCTCCTCCTCCTCCTCGTCCTCCTCCTCCTCCTCCTCCTCCCCCTCTTCCTCCTCCTCCTCCTCCTCCACCTCCTCCTCCTCCTCCCTCCTCCTCCTCCTTCTCCTCCTCCTCCTCCCCTCCTCCTCCTCCTCCTCCTCCTCCTCTCCTCCTCCTCCTCCTCCCTCCTCGTCCTCGTCCTCGTCCTCGTCCTCGTCCTCGTCCTCCTTCTCCTCTCCTCCTCCTCTTCTTCCTCCTCCTCCTCCTCCTCCTCCTCCTCCTCCTC